GACCCACCACCGCCAGCAGAGAGCCCTGAGGCACCAGCACATTAATGCTGCACACAGGAGAGACAGACTTACTGCATATACACCACTGAAAATAACTCGCTTTCGTATAAAGTATTATAATAAGATACAACATAATTAAGTGTATTTTGTGCATCTAAAAAAGATTCAGTCAATCAAGTGAAGTCTAGGTCTCCATGTTTGTTTTGAGCACACTTGGCTTTACTGGAGTCATGTCGAACGCCCTTATATGGAGATAATGGGTGTGTGTTATGCTAATTAGGACCTGCTGACACGCCCCCTCATTTAGAATGGACCCTTTTCACATTTTCATTTCCATAGCGGTGAACAGAAACTACAACACATATACTAACCTGAGCTAGATTCATGATGTAAAGGGATAATTCACTCAAAAATGAAAATTATGTCATAAAAAAAAAATAGTGCTGGGCAACAATTAATTGTGATTTATCGCATCCGATAATAAAGTGGTTTATTACTATATTATTATCTGTGAAATAAAGTGGTTTATTGCTATATTATTATCTGTGAAATAAAGTGGTTTATTACTATATTATTATCTGTGAAAAATGGTTTATTGCTATATTATTATCTGTGAAATAAAGTGGTTTATTGCTATATTGATATCTGTGAAATAAAGTGGTTTATTGGTATATTATTATCTGTGAAAAATGGTTTATTGCTATATTATTATCTGTGAAATAAAGTGGTTTATTGCTATATTATTATCTGTGAAATAAAGTGGTTTATTGCTATATTATTATCTGTGAAATAAAGTGGTTTATTGCTATATTATTATCTGTGAAATAAAGTGGTTTATCTAAAAGTGGTTTATCTAAAAAAATAGTGCTGGGCAACAAATAAAGGTATATATGCATGTATGTATTTAATATTTAAGACAAATGTGTATAAAACATTTTTATGTATAAATATTTCTTAAATATATACATTCATGTGTGTATTTATATATACAAAATAATTACACAGCAAACAAACTTTTATTATTTCGGATGCGATTAATCACAATTAATTGTTACCCAGCACAAAAACCCATGGAAGCCCAATCAACTTCTTTTGTGTTCAGCAGAAGAAAGAAACTCATACAGGTTTGGAACAACTAATCGACTAAATGATACATTTTTTAGATAACAATCTCATTCTCTAGGTTTAATCTACATTAGAACGAGGGTAACGAATGCCACATTACAGATTAAATTTTAAACTTTTACAGATTAAACTTTAAACTTTAAGTAAGTAAGTAAGTAAGTAAGTAAGTAAGTAAAAGTTTATTTATATAGCTGTATAGGGCCACAAAGTGCTTTACAGCAAAAACAATTAATATCATAAAATACACAAAAAAAAAAAAAAAAAAAAGCTAAAGTTCTAAAGTTCATGCTAAAGTAACACGATAGTCTTTAAATTAGACTATCGTGCTAAAGTTCATTCATTTTTAGTAATTCAACTTAAAAGCTGAAACTAATATATTATATAGACTCATTACATGCAAAGTGAGATATTTCAAACCTTTATTTGTTATAATTGTGATGATTATGGATTACAGATATGAAAACCTTTAATTTGTGGTTTTCATATCTGTAATCCATCATCATCAAAATTATATCAAATAAAGGCTTGAAATATCTCACTTTGCATGTAATGAGTCTATATAATATATTAGTTTCAGCTTTTAAGTTGAATTACTGACAGAAATGCACTTTTGCACCATATTCTAATTTTTCGAGTTTCTCCTGTATTGTGGACATTGATTTCTTACTTGTCGAGAGTGACCTGGTCTTGTTTGGCCCATGCGAATTTCCCATTGACAACCGTCACGGCATATTCTGGAGAGAGAGAGAGAGAGAGAGAGCGTGAGTCAGCTGAAGTGCGAGTACAGTCACGATGAACAAAGATTTCACAATAACTCGGCATGAGAACCAGCGCAGAAACATAAACCCGCTGTGGTCAAGTGAAGCTTGTGTTCGCTTGTAAAACTACCGGAGGCGTTGTTTCTTCTGTCCACATTCTCTGGATCCAGTTCATCGTGACTCAGGAAATCCTGGATGCGCTTCAGAGACACGCTGGCCTGACGGAAGATTACAAAACCATGAGGTGGACAGGACTACTCCAACACATCACAAAGATGATCTCATCCCAGGAATATACTGAGCTGGATATTTCACAATCGTTTAAACAATCAGAACTGAACATGCTCGAATCTGCCACACCTTCTAAAACTAGCTCAGTTCTCTAAATAACACACACACATATTTATATATATATACTGTATAAATATATATATATATATATACATACATATATGATATATATTTAGAACTGAGCTAGTTTTAGAAATAGTGTAATAATGCTTTTACAAAGGCAAAATAATTGTCTGCCATCATCGTTATCTGTGAAATAAAGTGGTTTATTGCTATATTATTATCTGTGAAATAAAGTGGTTTATTGCTATATTATTATCTGTGAAATAAAGTGGTTTATCGCTATATTATTATCTGTGAAATAAAGTGGTTTATTGCTATATTATTATCTGTGAAATAAAGTGGTTTATCGCTATATTATTATCTGTGAAATAAAGTGGTTTATTGCTATATTATTATCTGTGAAATAAAGTGGTTTATCGCTATATTATTATCTGTGAAATAAAGTGGTTTATTGCTATTATCTGTGAATAAATGGTTTATTGCTATATTATTATCTGTGAAATAAAGTGGTTTATTGCTATATTATTATCTTTGAAAAAATGGTTTATTGCTATATTATTATCTGTGAAATAAAGTGGTTTATCGCTATATTATTATCTGTGAAATAAAGTGGTTTATTGCTATATTATTATCTGTGAAATAAAGTGGTTTATCGCTATATTATTATCTGTGAAATAAAGTGGTTTATCGCTATATTATTATCTGTGAAATAAAGTGGTTTATTGCTATATTATTATCTGTGAAATAAAGTGGTTTATCGCTATATTATTATCGGTTTATTGCTATATTATTATCTGTAAAATAAAGTGGCTTATCGCTATATTATTATCTGTGAAATAAAGTGGTTTATCGCTATATTATTATCTGTGAAATAAAGTGGTTTATCGCTATATTATTATCTGTGAAATAAAGTGGTTTATCGCTATATTATTATCTGTGAAATAAAGTGGTTTATCGCTATATTATTATCTGTGAAATAAAGTGGTTTATTGCTATATTATTATCTGTGAAATAAAGTGGTTTATCGCTATATTATTATCTGTGAAATAAAGTGGTTTATCGCTATATTATTATCTGTGAAATAAAGTGGTTTATTGCTATATTATTATCTGTGAAATAAAGTGGTTTATTGCTATATTATTATCTGTGAAATAAAGTGGTTTATCGCTATATTATTATCTGTGAAATAAAGTGGTTTATCGCTATATTATTATCTGTGAAATAAAGTGGTTTATTGCTATATTATTATCTGTGAAATAAAGTGGTTTATCGCTATATTATTATCTGTGAAATAAAGTGGTTTATTGCTATATTATTATCAGTGAAATAAAGTGGTTTATCGCTATATTATTATCTGTGAAATAAAGTGGTTTATTGCTATATTATTATCTGTGAAATAAAGTGGTTTATCGCTATATTATTATCTGTGAAATAAAGTGGTTTATTGCTATATTATTATCAGTGAAATAAAGTGGTTTATCGCTATATTATTATCTGTGAAATAAAGTGGTTTATTGCTATATTATTATCTGTGAAATAAAGTGGCTTATCGCTATATTATTATCTGTGAAATAAAGTGGTTTATTGCTATATTATTATCTGTGAAAAAATGGTTTATTGCTATATTATTATCTGTGAAATAAAGTGGTTTATTGCTATATTATTATCTTTGAAAAAATGGTTTATTGCTATATTATTATCTGTGAAATAAAGTGGTTTATTGCTATATTATTATCGGTTTATTTCTATATTATTATCTGTGAAATAAAGTGGTTTATTGCTATATTATTATCTGTGAAATAAAGTGGTTTATTGCTATATTATTATCTGTGAAATAAAGTGGTTTATCGCTATATTATTATCTGTGAAATAAAGTGGTTTATTGCTATATTATTATCTGTGAAATAAAGTGGTTTATTGCTATATTATTATCTGTGAAATAAAGTGGTTTATCGCTATATTATTATCTGTGAAATAAAGTGGTTATTGCTATATTATTATCTGTGAAATAAAGTGGCTTATCGCTATATTATTATCTGTGAAATAAAGTGGTTTATTGCTATATTATTATCTTTGAAAAAATGGTTTATTGCTATATTATTATCTGTGAAATAAAGTGGTTTATTGCTATATTATTATCGGTTTATTTCTATATTATTATCTGTGAAATAAAGTGGTTTATTGCTATATTATTATCTGTGAAATAAAGTGGTTTATTGCTATATTATTATCTGTGAAATAAAGTGGTTTATTGCTATATTATTATCTGTGAAATAAAGTGGGTTATCGCTATATTATTATCTGTGAAATAAAGTGGTTTATTGCTATATTATTATCTGTGAAATAAAGTGGTTTATTGCTATATTATTATCGGTTTATTGCTATATTATTATCTGTAAAATAAAGTGGCTTATCGCTATATTATTATCTGTGAAATAAAGTGGTTTATTGCTATATTATTAACTGTGAAAAAATGGTTTATCGCTATATTATTATCTGTGAAATAAAGTGGTTTATTGCTATATTATTATCTGTGAAATAAAGTGGTTTATTGCTATATTATTATCTGTGAAATAAAGTGGTTTATCGCTATATTATTATCTGTGAAATAAAGTGGTTTATTGCTATATTATTATCTGTGAAATAAAGTGGTTTATTGCTATATTATTATCGGTTTATTGCTATATTATTATCTGTAAAATAAAGTGGCTTATCGCTATATTATTATCTGTGAAATAAAGTGGTTTATTGCTATATTATTAACTGTGAAAAAATGGTTTATCGCTATATTATTATCTGTGAAATAAAGTGGTTTATTGCTATATTATTATCTGTGAAATAAAGTGACACACTGATAATAATCTTATATGTTTCTTAAGCATCATATTATTGAGTAATGATGCTGAAAATACAGCTTTGATCACAGGAATAAATTACACTTTACTGTATATTCACATAGAAAACTAATGATTCACATTATAATAATATTTCACATTTTTACTTCATTTTACTGTGCTTTGGACTAAATAAATTCAGCCTTGGTGAGCAAAAGAGACTCTTTCATAAACATTAAACAAATCTTGAGATCGTTAATGTTTATATATCATGTTTAATGGTGATTGACAGCTCTAAAGTTGTATTTAATCAGGAATATCTGTAATATTGAGAAGCCTGCTGAGGTGAAAGCTCACTTGTACGATGCTGCTGATGACTTGTGGAAGCATGTTCAGCGGGAATCTCAAGATGTTGAACAGAGACAAGGACACGAAGGCCTTCTCCGCATCCAAGACGTTTTCTTCATCCACTGTCACATAGACAGCAAACGTGGTCAAGGCCACCTGAAGGACATCAAGAGCACAAGCACACACTCATGAAGGGTTCAAGATTTCAGCAACAAAACATGTTTTTTTTCACTTGCCCACACACATCATGACTAATGCACTTTTGAAACATGAGCCGGCAACTTGATGCCGAGATAAGGATCTACAGCATATCAAAGATAAACATTTTGCCTTTTCCACACACTCTAAAATATATATATACAGTATATATATATATATATATATATATATATATATATATATATCCTGGGTTGAGCCTTTTGGGTTATTTTTCCAGTGTTTGGGTAGTTTTTGTGTAACCCAGATACTGGGTCAGACGTAATAACCCAGGGGTTGAGTTATTTATCACAGACATTTTGCGACCTCTTCAGTAGAGATCAGTGCAGCTCCGTCAAAATTGTGTGTGTCTTCTGTGAAATACAGGTTTGTGTAAATTTTATTTTACCTATAAATTCGTTATTGTTCTGTATATCCTTTAATTTTATGCAAAGCAACATACAGGGGGCGATGTGAGTCACCTAAACGAGTGTGGCGAGTCTTGAGAATATATATATATATATAATATATAAAATATTATAAAATATATATAAAATATATAAATATATAAAATATATATAAAAAATTTGATTTATACAGTAAAATATGATTGAAAATAAATGAATTATCATGCAAGCCAGTGGTTGTATCAATTATTTCTTTAAGTTTAGATTTTTTTAAGTATTTTTAAGTTTAGAGGATTTCAGTTAATCCGTAGACATTCATTCATGTATGAAGTAAAATAAATAAATAAATAAAAGTATTATAGTAAAATGAATCAGCTATCCTGGGTTAAATCAACCCAGTATGATGGGTTAAATAAACAACCCAATTTGCTGGGTCAAATTAACCCAACATGTGCCCTGTCCTAGCCCTTTGGTCGAAAACAACCCAAACCCGGTGTTTTTAGAGTGCACACACACACACACACACACACACAGGTCCAGGGATAGAGGAGTGTTACCAGGAAGGGCGCGCTGGTCCAGGCCATGGTGGACAGAGCGCTGAGGTAGGCCGTCTTCTTCAGCACATTCAGCTCCTTCTGTCGGATGGCCAGGATCTTCTCCTTGAAGGAGGTCTCCCAGGCGTAGAGCTTCAACACCTTGATGCCGTTGAGGATCTCGTTCATCAGCTTGATGCGGTCGTCCTTGTGTTTCATCTGCTCCACCTGCGCACAGCATCACTCACACGCTCGTATTGCATTTAAATTAAAGTTTTAGTCATTTTGGGGTGCAGGTTTGTCATATTTTTTATGTTTATGCAGATTTTATTATTATTTTTATTCAAGTTTTAGTTTAGTTTCAGTCCATCAAAGTCAAATAACTGAAAATGATAAATAAATAATTATTATAGCTTTTAGTATTATTTTTTAATTATTTTAAATTCCAGTTAGTTTTAGTAATTTTGCTGTGCGGTTTTTCTCATTTTTATTAGTTTCTTTCTGTTTTTAATGTCTATATAGATTTTGTCCATTTTATTTCAGATTTTATTCAAATTTGCACATTTTTAACATTTTGAATTTGTTTTTATTTTTATATTTTCCATTTTAATTTTAATTTCAAATAAAGTTTTAGAAATGTTGCTGTGTTTGTCTTTATAGATTTTGTTCATTTTTATTTCGGTTAAAGTTTTTATTCATATTTATTTTTATTTCAATTAATTTTTAAGAAACTTTGTTGCGCTTTTTGACATTTTTATAAGCTTTTTAGCCTATATGGATTTTATTTATTTTTCATTAACTTTTAGTTTTTTTTTTTTTTAAGTTTTTGTAATTGTGTTGTGCATTTTTGTCATTCTTAGTTTTTATTTAGTTTCATATGTCTATGTAGAATTTATTCATTTTTAATATCAGTTTTAGTTTTCGTTAAAATTTTAAATGTATATATTGTTTTATTTAAGTTAATGTTTTTAAAGTAATTTTGTTGTGCATTTTTCAGTTTAATTTGAGTTGTTTTAGTACATAAATAAATAAAAATTGAAAATGAGAAATGTTGCCTTGGCAACTATAGCTTAAATAAAATAAAATGTTTTTTTTTTTTTTCCTTTTATTACAATTTATTCTTTTTTAAGTAATGTAATGTTTTCTTTGTAGTTTTAGTGAACTATCATGACTCTGGAGCAGATATGCACACATCAATGACACTCGTGCTCTGTCTCTTTAAGAGGAAATGAAACTTCGCAAAACATGTGACTGATAAGCTTGAGCTTTGAAAACCACGGCAGAAGAAGATATATTGATAAGCAGCAGAACTGAGGCCGTTGTGTGAACAGACTGACCCAGTTTGTGTCTGAATAAGTGTCAAACATGTTTCCACAATCCAACATACGCTGTAGAAATCGTTCTTTCATTGCCACAATTAAAAAAAACTAGATTTCAACAAGATTTTATGCATCAGTCATTTAATTTAAGGTTGAAAATGTTCAGTAATAAATAACAGCATCTGTGTCATTGAATTATTCACTCAACTACGGGAACGTTACTTCTGAAAAGGACAGCTGACCTGGTAAGTTCTGGTCTTCATGGCGATGAAAGCGTTGAATGGGATCAGCAGAACCATCACGGCCACACCAGCCAACACCGACGGACCCAGGTTCTGGAGAAACACAACAATCGCTCACGTCTTCAACAGCTGACATCACTGCGACACGAAACCACTGTCATATAGCAGAAGTCTCGAGATACTGTTCGTTCCACTTAGATTTTAGTAAAAGCTTTAGTAATTTTTGTTTTTTTTTGGCCATTTACCAATCAGATCAACGTGTGATCGTCAACCAGTGGATCTCTGAGCTGGTGCGAGTGAGTGGAGGCGGGGCTCATTTGCATATTCATACTAAATGAGGCAAGGGTGTCGAGTTACATTCAAGCTTTTTCAAGTAAAAACGCTTAAATATGTAATTTTGGTGATCAGAGATGAGTTTTAAGGGATACAATTATTGATCATTTCACATAATTCACATTTAATAAACGTTAGACTAACGTCCAACTGAAACGCTTCCGAAAATCATTCCATTTTTGTTTAAAGACCAAATAACTCTGATCTAACGTTCAATTAACGTTATTGAAAGAATGTTTGTCCATAACTTAGAATTTATTAAAACTGTTTTTTAGTCACATTTTTTTTAATTTTGTGGGTTTTTTTGCCATTTTTGAATGAGAAAAAAAGGTAAATGTGGCCCTCGCAACTAGCTGAAAAGTTTTTTACATTTTATTTAATTTTAGTTAATGTTTTATTCATTTTGTTTAGTCTTTCAGACATTTTTTTGATGATTTGATGATTTTTTTGATGATTACGGCTTACAGATATGAAAACCCCAAATTAAAAATATTGTGAAAAGGTTTTCATAAGCTGTAAGTCATAATCATCACAATTATAACAAATAAAGGCTTGAAATATCTCACTTTGCATGTAATGAGTCTATATAATATATTAGTTTCACCTCTCAAGTTGAATTACTGAAATACTATTTTTCGAGTTTCACCCGTATATATTATCTTTCAAAAATTCAATCATTTTTCATTCACTTCTTCATAAATATATCTGTTTTCAAGGGTTTTGCAGGTTTTTTTTTTTTTTTAACAATCAAATTGAAGCTCTTTATGCACCTTGTACGAATAATTAACATGTGTGAACTGGAAAATTGATCATGTTTTTCTGAACGCCAGGTTTCATGATAATTAAGAAACACATGACGGTCGATACGAACTGTTCTTCGCCTTGTTGCAAACGAACCTGAATGTTATTTTCATTCAGAGATGATGGCATGTTACGTTCATCTAATTTGGGGCAGTTTGATTGGACGCAGAGCCTTTAATGTCAAAAAAAAAAAAGAAAGAAGGCCTAACAGGGAAATGTATTTTACATGATTATATGCCTCGAAGCATTTTAGATTTGCATTTAGAGTTTCATAGAGAAACATTGTGTATGAACACGGTCATCCGTTTAACACACAGAGCAAGGGGAAGTGTTTCGATGCAAATGTGTAAAGCTTCACCTGCCACAGGAAGAAGAGCGCCAGGATGATCTGCAGCGGCGCTGACCACAGCATGTTGAGGAAGGTGGTGAGATCCATGAAGCGCTGAGCGTCCACAGACATCAGATTGACCACCTCGCCCACCGTAGACGAGCGCTTGGCTGCGTTCGTGATCACTAGAGACTGCGGAGACCGGCGAAAACGTGTCAAATGTGCTTTCACAATCCAACATACACTGTAGAAATCAATCTCTTCATTGTCACAATACAACAACAACTAAATAAACTTAAGGTTTAAACTGTGAAAATGTTTGAATCATTTCTGTCATTGAATCACAAATGACTGAGTCATTGAATCATTCACTCAACTCTTTTGGGTTATTTGAAATGTTAAAGTCCCCCTGTGGTGAAAATCAAGTTTATAAAGTTGTTTATGTGTGTATGTGGTGTGTTTAATCTGCTTTAACACACACACCATGTGTGCGTTGATAAGTGGACAGCATTGCTGAGTATTTCCTCCTTAAAACCAAAGACAGTCTCAAAAACACGCTTTGAAATCGCTGGTGTTTCTGACGTCACAAACCACCTTGTAACCAATCAGATCAACGTGTGATCGTCAACCAGTGGAGTGAGTGAGTGGAGGCGGGGCTCATCTGCATATTCATAGAACCGCGCATACTAAATGAGGCGAGGGTGTCGAGTTACATTCAAGATATTTTAAGGCATGATGAAAAAAATTAAAAGATTTTTTTTTTTAAATATGTAATTTTATTGATCAAATGATTTTAAAATAAAGATTCCAATTCATCACGTTGTAAACATTACAGAAACGTTACATTTGAATGTTCTCTCACGCTTTTATTTGTTATAATTGTGATGATTATGGCTTACAGATACGAAAACCCCAAATTCAAAATTAGAATATTGTGAAAAGGTTTTCATATCTGTAATCCATAATCATCAACATTATAACAAATAAAGGCTTGAAATATCTCACTTTGCATGTAATGAGTCTATATAATATATTAGTTTCAGCTTTTAAGTTGAATTACTGACATAAATGAACTTTTGCACCATATTCTCATTTTTCGGGTTTCACCTTTCGCCTGCTGATTCATTTCAAAGCTTTTTCTAATGCAACATCCCATGACAAAGTCCATTATTTGCTTTTTAAATAGAGGGATAATGCTGGCGATGGAGAGACGTACTTAAATGTGCAAACACCCACGAGTGAAGCTCATGTAAGTACAAAGCAGCTCTAGGTAAAAGTGCACAGATGTGTGTGAACAAGCCGTCACGCCTAACACACCTCCGGCAACTGAAACCCCTGCGCTATTCCTCTCTAGAGCAGTGGAGCAGAGGTTATTACCAAATCACTGTGTGTCTGCAACTGGCACACTTACACTTCTATAAACACAATGTCATGCTGGCGTCATGCTTGCATTTTAAATTAAACGCAGTTGTGCACATCTTTTAGAAGGTTTAATGTTTATTTTGTAACTCTTGTTTCTGCCAGTCACAGCAAAATAGTCATAACACATTCAAGTGAAACTCGAAACGTTAGAAAATCGTGCAAAAGTTCATTTATTTCAGTAATTCAACTTAAAAGATTAAACTAATATATTATATATAGACTCATTACATGCAAAGTGAGATATTTCAAGCCTTTATTTGTTATAATGTTGATGATTATGGATTACAGATATGAAAACCTTTTCACAATATTCTAATTTTGAATTTGTGGTTTTCATATCTGTAATCCATAATCATCACAATTATAACAAATAAAGGCTTGAAATATCTCACTTTGCATGTAATGAGTCTATATAATATATTAGTTTCACCTTTTAAGTGTTTTCATTGGGACTTAACGCACTTCGCTGACATACCGTACTGCATTTATTATAACAAACAGACAAACCTGTTATAGTAAACCATGGATAAGTAACTTGAGTTTTGAAAGCTGCAGTTTCTAGGACTATGAAAGGTCAATATTAAGTGCTTCCTCATTATTTAACCCCCTAAAACTAGTTTAAAAGCTCAGTTCGCTATTCTGTCATTATTTACTCGTGTCATTCCGAACCTATATTTGCATGTGCAGATGTATGCATTTCTTTCTTTTGCCTACACGAAACAAGGGGCCCATTGTGTGGACTAAAAACACTTGAGACGTTTGAGATATTGTGTTACAGAAGAAAGAAATGCAAAGAAAACCGGCTTACAGGGAGCGTTCTGTTCTGAACAAACGTTTGTTCACAGTTATCTGGTTTTTAATAATGCTCTCAAAACATTAGTGTATATATTGTTAATGGTGGATGTTCACCTAACGTATTTTAAACGTTACTACTTGCGTTCAGCAAACATTTAAAAGTAATGTTCCCATAATATTTGCAGGATGGCAAACTAGAATGCAACATTAAAGTCCCTCTGTGGTGAAAATAAAGCTTTTAATGTTGTTTATGTGTCTATGTGGTGTTTTATAAGCTAAACAGAGAAGGTTCTCAGCTCTCAGATTCTGTCAATTTTATTATGAAATTCAAACAATAGCGTTTTGGCGCTTGTAAATGTCACGTGACAGGTCGTGAAGCGAACATATCTAAATACCCTTTACTAGTTAATGGTAAATGAACATGAATGAACAATAGGGGTGTTGAATATGGAAGCTTGTTTCCGCAACTGATTAAAAAAAAATAATAATAATTGCGACTATTTATCTCACAATTGCGAGATATGAAGTCAGAATTGAGAGAAATAAAGTCGCAATTGTGAGATATAAAGTCAGAATTCTGAGAAATAAAGTCGCAATTGCAAGATATAAACTCGCAATTCTGAGAATTAAAGTCACAATTGCGAGATATAAAGTTGTAATTCTGAGAAATAAAGTCGCAATTGCGAGATATAAAGTTGCAATTCTGAGAAATAAAGTCGCAATTGTGAGATATAAAGTCAGAATTCTGAGAATTAAAGTCACAATTGCGAGATATAAAGTTGTAATTCTGAGAAATAAAGTCGCAATTGCGAGATATAAAGTTGCAATTCTGAGAAATAAAGTCGCAATTGTGAGATATAAAGTCAGAATTCTGAGAAATAAAGTCGCAATTGCGAGATATAAAATCGCAATTCTGAGAAATAAAGTCGCAATTGCAAGATATAAACTCGCAATTCTGAGAATTAAAGTCACAATTGCGAGATATAAAGTTGTAATTCTGAGAAATAAAGTCGCAATTGCGAGATATAAAGTTGCAATTCTGAGAAATAAAGTCGCAATTGTGAGATATAAAGTCAGAATTCTGAGAAATAAAGTCGCAATTGCGAGATATAAAATCGCAATTCTGAGAAATAAAGTCGCAATTGCAAGATATAAACTCGCAATTCTGAGAATTAAAGTCACAATTGCGAGATATAAAGTTGTAATTCTGAGAAATAAAGTCGCAATTGCGAGATATAAAGTTGCAATTCTGAGAAATAAAGTCGCAATTGCAAGATATAAACTCGCAATTCTGAGAATTAAAGTCGCAATTGCGAGATATAAAATCGCAATTCTGAGAAATAAAGTCGCAATTGCAAGATATAAACTCGCAATTCTGAGAATTAAAGTCACAATTGCGAGATATAAAGTTGTAATTCTGAGAAATAAAGTCGCAATTGCGAGATATAAAGTTGCAATTCTGAGAAATAAAGTCGCAATTGCAAGATATAAACTCGCAATTCTGAGAATTAAAGTCGCAATTGTGAGATATAAAATCGCAATTCTGAGAAATAAAGTCGCAATTGCGAGATATAAAGTTGCAATTCTGAGAAATAAAGTCGCAATTGCGAGATATAAAGTTGCAATTCTGAGAAATAAAGTCGCAATTGCGAGATATAAAATCGCAATTCTGAGAAATAAAGTCGCAATTGCGAGATATAAAGTCGCAATTCTGAGAAATAAAGTCGCAATTGTGAGATATAAAGTCAGAATTCTGAGAATTAAAGTCACAATTGCGAGATATAAAGTTGTAATTCTGAGAAATAAAGTCGCAATTGCGAGATATAAAGTTGCAATTCTGAGAAATAAAGTCGCAATTGTGAGATATAAAGTCAGAATTCTGAGAAATAAAGTCGCAATTGCGAGATATAAAATCGCAATTCTGAGAAATAAAGTCGCAATTGCAAGATATAAACTCGCAATTCTGAGAATTAAAGTCACAATTGCGAGATATAAAGTTGTAATTCTGAGAAATAAAGTCGCAATTGCGAGATATAAAGTTGCAATTCTGAGAAATAAAGTCGCAATTGTGAGATATAAAGTCAGAATTCTGAGAAATAAAGTCGCAATTGCGAGATATAAAATCGCAATTCTGAGAAATAAAGTCGCAATTGCAAGATATAAACTCGCAATTCTGAGAATTAAAGTCACAATTGCGAGATATAAAGTTGTAATTCTGAGAAATAAAGTCGCAATTGCGAGATATAAAGTTGCAATTCTGAGAAATAAAGTCGCAATTGCAAGATATAAACTCGCAATTCTGAGAATTAAAGTCGCAATTGCGAGATATAAAATCGCAATTCTGAGAAATAAAGTCGCAATTGCAAGATATAAACTCGCAATTCTGAGAATTAAAGTCACAATTGCGAGATATAAAGTTGTAATTCTGAGAAATAAAGTCGCAATTGCGAGATATAAAGTTGCAATTCTGAGAAATAAAGTCGCAATTGCAAGATATAAACTCGCAATTCTGAGAATTAAAGTCGCAATTGCGAGATATAAAATCGCAATTCTGAGAAATAAAGTCGCAATTGCGAGATATAAAGTTGCAATTCTGAGAAATAAAGTCGCAATTGCGAGATATAAAGTTGCAATTCTGAGAAATAAAGTCGCAATTGCGAGATATAAACTCGCAATTCTGAGAATTAAAGTCGCAATTGCGAGATATAAAGTCGCAATTCTGAGAAATAAAGTCGCAATTGCGAGATATAAACTCGCAATTCTGAGAATTAAAGTCGCAATTGCGAGATATAAAGTCGCAATTCTGAGAAATAAAGTCGCGATTGCGAGATAAAAAAATCGCAATTCTAAGAATTAAAGTGGCAATGGCAAGATATATGTCATAATGTGGTTTTGTGTTTTGTCATTAAATCTCTGGTGTTTCTGACGTCACAAACCACCTTGTAACCAATCAGATCAACGTGTGATCGTCAACCAGTGGACCTCTGAGTGAGTGAGTGGAGGCGGGGCTCATTAGCATATTCATAGAACCGTGAATACTAAATGAGGCAAGGATGTCGAGTTACATTCAAGATATTTTACGGCATGATTATTTTTTTTCAAGTAAATGTCATTTTGGTGATCAAAGATGAGTTCTAAGGGATGCAATGATTGACTACAGCGGGACTTTAATGTTCACAAAAAATGTTTTCTACATACAAATATTGCCTTCTGGTCTACACGAGTGTTTTCTTGCATGGAGACGCTAGTACACACCTTCCTGTAGATGGCTCCGATGATCGCAGAGCGAAGCCTCATGCCCGTGACAAAGCAGTACTGAAAGTGCTGATGCAAGATGAGGGTCTGTAAGAGGGAAGTGCCGAACATCAGGAAGGCCAGCGCGTAACCCCACCACAGCGGCGCGTGCGTGTTCTTGGTGAAGTCAATCAACATCCTGACAGTGAAAGGAGAATCAGGTTAAAACCACACCTCTGTGGATCGGATTGCTCATTTCATGCAATGTGGTTTACATCAATCATATTTACACAAACAGTCAAAGGTTTGGAATAATTAAGCCTCTTCAGCTCACCAAGGCTGCAAAATACAGTAGAAATTGTGAAATATTATTAGAACGTAAAACAGCTGTTTTCTATGTGAATATACAGTAAAGTATAATTTATTCCTGTGTTCAAAGCTGAATTTATTTGATCAAAAATACAGTAAAAATTGTAAAATATATTTAGAATTTAAAATATCTGTTTTCTATGTGAATATACAGTAAAGTATAATTTATTCCTGTGATCAAAGCTGAATTTATTTGATCAAAAATACAGTAAAAATTGTGAAATATTATTAGAATTTAAAATATCTGTTTTCTATGTGAATATTCAGTAAAGTGTAATTTATTCCTGTGATCAAAAGTTGAATTTATTTGATCAAAAATACAGTAAAAATTGTAAAATATATTTAGAATTTAAAATATCTGTTTTCTATGTGAATATACAGTAAAGTATAATTTATTCCTGTGATCAAAGCTGAATTTATTTGATCAAAAATACAGTAAAAATTGTGAAATATTATTAGAATTTAAAATATCTGTTTTCTATGTGAATATACAGTGAAGTGGAATTTATTCCTGTGATCAAAGCTGAATTTATTTGACCAAAAATACAGTAAAAAATTATTATACTGTAAATCGTCTGTTTTCTATGTGAATATACAGTAAAGTAATTTATTCCTGTGATCAAAGCTGAATTTATTTTATCAAAAATACAGTAAAAACAGTAAAATATTATTATACTGTAAATCGTCTGTTTTCTATGTGAATATACAGTAAAGTCATTTATTCCTGTGATCAAAGCTGAATTTATCATCATTACTCCAGTCTTCAGTGTCACATGATCCTTCACAAATCACTCTAATATGAGGATCTGATGATCAAGAAACATCTATGATTATTATCAATGATGTGTTACTTTATATTACTGTTTTGACTGTATTTGTGATCAAATAAATGCAGCCTTGTTGAGCATGAGAGACTTGTTTTAAAAAATAACTTATTCAAAATGGCAAAAAGCACTGTAGAGAAACATATTTGCATCGTGTTTGCATTGTAAAACATGTGTGGAGAGTGTGAAAAGCATACGTGGCGAGAGCAAAACAGCATGCAAACGATTTTACAGGCTTCTATGGAGAAAATATTAATTTTACTCCTTCCAGCTAATCAGCGCGTTTCGTGTTTGCTCTGCCTGTTATAAATAAACAAAACAAATCCATGCGTGTAATAAAAGCCATATCTAGGTAAATGTTAAAGGAACAGAAAAGCTATTGTGTCTGTCGTTATCAGACTGTCTCATATTACACCTGTTGCTTTAATAATGTCATACAGGTTTGGAACCAAATGAAGAGAGTAAATGTTCAACATCTTTATTATGGATCACTATATTACATTAAGGACAGGGCTGACAACTCTCTCACATTCACACGCAACTGACTCTTTTCTCACGCTCTCTCTCACACATTCACTTTCTCACGCGAAGCAAAGAGGACACTGACACCGACAGATATGAAACACATTATCATTATCATTAGATTCTGTCAATTTTATTACGAAATTCAAACAATAGCGTTTTGGTGCTTGCAAATGTCATGTGACAGATCAATTTCAAAAATACCCTTTACTAGTTAATGGTAAATGAACATGAATGAACAATAGGGGTGTTGAATATGGAAGCTTGTTTTCGGCGCTGATTAAAAAAAATAATAATAATTGCGACTATTTATCTCACAATTGCGAGATATGAAGTCAGAATTATGTGAAACAAAATCGCAATTGCGAGATTTAAAGTCGCAATTCTGAGAAATAAAGTCGCAATTCTGAGATATAAAGTCGCAATTCTGAGAAATAAAGTCGCAATTCTGAGATATAAAGATGCAATTCTGAGAAATAAAGTTGCAATTCTGCGATATAAAGATGCAATTATGAGAAATAGTCGCAATTGTGAAAGTCGCAATTCTGAGAAATAAAGTCACAATAACGAGATATAAAGTCGCAATTGCGAGATAAAGTCACAATTATAAGAAATAAAGTCACAATTGCGAGACATAAAGTCACAATTCTGTGATATAGTCGCAATTGCGAGATATAAAGTCGCAATTCTTAAAAATAAAAGTCACAATAACGAGATATAAAGTCGCAATTGCGAGATAAAGTCACAATTATAAGAAATAAAGTCACAATTGCGAGACATAAAGTCACAATTCTGTGATATAGTCGCAATTGCGAGATATAAAGTCGCAATTCTTAAAAATAAAAGTCACAATAACGAGATATAAAGTCACAATTGCGAGACATAAAGTCGCAATTCTGAGAAATAAAGTCAAAATTGCGAGACATAAAGTCGCAATTCTGAGAAATAAAGTCACAATTGCAAGATATAAAGTCGCAATTCTGTGATATAGTCGCAATTGTGAGATATAAAGATGCAATTCTGAGAAATAAAGTCACAATAACGAGATATAAAGTCGCAATAACGAGATATAAAGTCACAATTGGGAGACATAAAGTCGCAATTCTGTGATATATTCGCAATTGCGAGACATAAAGTCGCAATTCTGAGAAATAGTCACAATTGCAAGAAAAGTCTTGCAAGAAAAAAATTGAGACAATTTTTCTCACAATAGCAAATTAGTTTATATCTTGAGATTCTAACTTTATATCTCACAATTGTGAGAAAAAAAAAAGTCAAAATTGTGATATAAAAAGTCGCAATTATCTTTTTTTATTTTTATTTCTATGGCGGAAACAAGCTTCCATAGTTGAAAGATACAGTACAACTTCCCGAAATGAATATGCCTCATACATAATATCGATCAATCTGTGTTAACCACGAAAAATGGTCGATAAAACAGCTGGAGAACAATATCACATAACGTAACATTTACCTCAGGAAAGCTGCGCTAGTAGGCAAAAAAAAATTAGCTATAGAGAGGATTATTTAGCAAAATATGTGCACTATATATTACATATTTGTTATATTTTTACTTGTGTTATTAAAATATTATAATGCTGTTATTATAACAAAAACGCATTATATTTCATTGGTTTTAACCTTTAATAATAATACCAGCTGACAGGTCTCTCTGTGTGTTTACATAATGCCATAAGGTGAGGTTTTTTTTTCTTGAGAAAAATGAACATGTAGCTAACATTTATACCAAATGAATCAGATTCAAAATCAGAAGAATTGGACAGCAATCGTGAAATTTGTGTCGAGCAATAATAGTAAAAACGGTAGCCTAGCAGTTACTGTACCATGTAAACATTGTCCCAACTTAATTCCATAAATCTCCCTCAGCTAAACTCAAAATCTGGCAGCCCTGATTAAAGAAAACGCATTACAACCCTGTGAGCTGTAAATCTGAGAACTAGTAGATAAGAGTGATTAAAGATCATATTACATCACACACACACCTGAGCAGCTGCGGGTTGACGAAGGTGATGAGGTCCTGCAGGAGTTTGTAGGCGGAGCCGATGAGGAAGTAGGGCCCGAAGGCGCGGAGCAGCGCCCGCAGGAACGAGGGCTGCCGGGACTCCTTCCGCGGGGTCAGCAGAACCTGCGCCTCCTCGGGACCCACGTGGTTCGTTTCAGCGCCGCCGTCCGCTTTCGTGAACGCGGCCTGGTCCTTCACGCTCTGCTCACTGCACACAACAATCAACTCTGAGCTTCAAATGTGCTTTGGATCGTCAGTACTACATTTTTCTAAATGTCATAATCATTTTTTAACAGGCAAGTATTCATTACTTCAATCAGCTCAATCAATTATTACATTGTTTAAATTAAAACTTTTTTCGCTAACTGTGATTTTGCATAATATGTACATTTCTGAAATAGTTTCCTCTGATAACAGATCACTGTAAATTGTAATGTGAACTCATGCATTTTCTGTAAAGCTGCTTTGAAATGATGTGTATTGTGAAAAGCACTATACTATAGTAATAAATGTACAAAAATCACAAAATTCACATTGTTTCAAATGTGGATTGTGTAAAACACCCTACCAAATGCATAGTAACACCCTAGCAACCACTCAGAATGGCCTAGGAGTTGCATAGCAACACCCTAGAAACCACCCAGAACACTCCTAGTAACTGCAAAGGAACATCTTACAGTAACAGCAACTACCCACAATACCATATCAATCACCTTGCAACCACACAGAACACCCTAGCAACTGCATAGCGACACCCTCGCAACCACTCAGAATAGCCTAGGAACCGCATAGCAACAAACTAGAAGCCACCTAGCAACCACCCAGAACACGCTAGCAACTGCATAGCAAAATCCAAGCAGCAACCACCCACAATAAATGGATGGATGGATGGATGGATGGATGGATGCATGGATAGATGGATGGATAGATGGATAGATGGATGGATGGATGGATGGATGGATGGATGGATGGATGCATGGATGGATGGATGGATGGATGGATGCATCGATGGATGGATGGATGGATGGATGGATGGATGGATGGATGGATGGATGCATGGATGGATGGATGGATGGATGGATGCATGGATAGATGGATGGATGGATGGATGGATGGATGGATGGATGGATGGATGGATGCATGGATGGATGGATGGATGGATGCATGGATAGATGGATGGATGGATGGATGGATGGATGGATGGATGGATGGATGCATGGATGGATGGATGGATGGATGGATGGATGGATGGATGGATGCATGGATGGATGGATGGATGGATGGATGGATGGATGGATGGATGGATGCATGGATGGATGGATAGATGGATGGATGCATTGATGGATGGATGGATGCATGGATAGATGGATGGATGCATGGATGGATGGATGGATGGGTGGATGGATGGGTGGATGGATGGATGGATGGATAGATGGATAGATAGATAGATAGATAGATAGATAGATAGATAGATAGATAGATAGATAGATAGATAGATAGATAGATAGATAGATAGATAGATAGATAGATAGATAGATAGATAGATAAAATATCATGACAACTGTGTAGCAACACCAAAACAGCAGAAATACAAAACACCCGAGCAATACCATAGAAACATGTAGCAACCACACAGAACACCCCAGCAAGCAGCAGCATAGCAACACCCTGGCAATGACCAAGAACACCCTAGCAACCACTCAGAATAGTCTAGTAACCATAGTGACAACCACCCAGAATACCAGAGCAATTGACCAGAACACCCCAGCAACCACCCAGAACCCCTTAGCAACTGCATAGCAACACACTATTAACCACCCAGAAGAACTCTTGCAATGTGATACTGATTGTAAAAATCTTTAGCTTGAATGACTGTGTTTTTGAAGACATACCTCAGCGCTTTGGCTTTCTCCACCTCCCATTGGTTGAGCAGACTGGGGACCACCAGCGCTGAGCTGTCCTGCTGGTTCAGGGACCACAGGTCTTTATTCTCCAGCGGAGACTTGTAGCCTTTAATGGCCATACTGCAGAACAGAAGCAAAACATTCAACCCTCTGGCGCTCTTCGCGTGCATGTGTTTATTATTTTATTTATGTGTTTATATATTTCTTTTTCGGTCATTGTTGTGTCGGATTTTTTTTAAATGTAATTAATGTTCTATATTTTAGTTTGATTATGTTTTTTATTTAATATTTTGTATTTTTAGGCAATTTTTTTTTTTACTAAATTATAAGTATTTATAGTCCATTTATTCACTTTTTGAGCCAACTTAATCTGTGGTAAATCTTGAACGCTTTAGAACGACAGACTGAAGTTTGACCTCTTTTCAATGACGATACTGGCAGATTATTGCTGGAGTGAAAAAAGTATTCAAAAGTAGTTTTAAAAAGTGAACTTTAAAAAAGTAACAATTTTTTTAAATAAAAAATATTGTATTATTAGTGTATTGTTATGAAAAAAATGCTATTTTTAATTTTTATATGAAATATATATTTTCAAAATCACATTTTACTCTAAACTTTTTTTTTTACTCTCATCATTTGAGCTTGATATCTCAGTAAACGAGCGTTCAGTGAGAGTGTGTTGGGCTGCAGTACCGAACGCCTCCACTAGAGGAAACTCGTGTTTATTCATTTCCAATACGCTCATTTTTTACCTCAAGTGTGACTATTTCTTACAGGACCCGTTCGAATCATGTCCATGATTTATTTGTGTGTTCACACAGCAAGTGCCAAAACCTTTACCAAGTTTCCAACCATTCCGATGAATAAATAAATAAATAAAGGTAAAATGTTTTGGCATTAACACAGCAAACAGGGAAAGTTCTCAGAACAAGGTTCAGACGCACTGTCCCTTTAAATCCTCCTTCGGCTCGAGCACTGCAGAAGAGCTGTGCAGCATTAAAACCCCTTAAAGAGCATATTGGAAAAAATCTAAATGTATAGATAACCTTGTATGAAAATACCATATGAAAAGTTAATTCAGGATTTTAAATGTTTTAAAACAACATCAGGGCACTAATTTAGTAGATAAAGTGAGCATTTCTTGGACTGCTCATAAAAACGGCTTTTTTTTCTCCAACATCGCCATCATTTATCATCGTCATGGTAAAATTTTGTGTTTGTGGAGGTTGCAACAAGAATATTTTCATACTCATAAGGCGTGTCCAGACCTTTATTTTAGCAATGAACATGAAAAATCATGAAAAAATGGTAGAAACCTCCGTTTGTTTTCATGCCAAAAGTTCAAAAGATAGCATCCATTCAATTATTTTGGAAAAAAAAGGTCTGAAAAGTTTCAAATAAATTATTAATTGACCATGTGTGATGTAGCAGCGCGCTAAGACACACATATATGTTCTTTGTATGTGTTTCTTAGAGGTTGAATTCATATCAAAATCTGACAGACTTCCCATACCACTTATGAATAGGATCTCTACTTCCTAAATTGTATGAAAATTGTGGAAATAAGGGTTCATATCACTCCTGAGGCGCCCTTATATGGGCAGTGATGGAGTCTGGTTTTGCCCTAGTGGAAAAGTTCGGTACTGCGCCCAAACAAAATCTCACAGAAAGCTCATTTTTTGAGATATCAAAAATATATATTTTATGTAAAATATGAATAATTATATTGATAAACTCAAACTTCTATAACTTTTTCTGTTTCACCTTCTTAAATTATTTCACTTCTACAAAAATCTGCCAAATGTCTTCTTTAAAACAAGACCAAATATATGTCCAAAGCATTCTTGAATTAAACCATTTAAGTTCAAAATTTGCATTTTCATGCGTATTAAAAAAAGGAGGGGGGTGACAGTTAACAGGTTAAGACGTCTTGTAACTGAGCCAAAACACACACACTCGCCTTGTAAACCACCAAAAGGTCATTTTTGAGAGGAATCCGGCAGTCGTTTCTGGACACACATTCTGGAGAAGAAATGAAAAGCAGCACTTCAGTTTCATTGCTCTGACCTTTCGAATCTCTTTTTCTTTTAATCAATCTCTGATGACGTATTATGAAGACAGTACAATACACACACACACACACACTCACAGGGTCTGTGCCGGCCCTGGAGAAGAGAGGGGGCTTCTCGTTGAAGCAGGACAGGATCAGTTCAGTCAGGATGAGGCCGAAGTACATGTAGAACGTTGTGAACCTCAGCTTGTCTCTGACCTCGTTCTGAAACAGAGAAAGCAGCGTTATCATCACTCATAACATCTCTACACTCGCCCGCGGCTATGAACACACTCAACCCCGCTTTTATGAGCACAGATCTGAGATATCTAGTTTTATTAGATTTTTCAGATGTTTGACAAAGCTCAGGCATTGTCCAGCCGGCCCACATCGGACATTCCCCCAGACTCACGCCGTCGGTCACGCTCTCTGGTGTGTGTGTGTGTGTGTGTCGGGTTTAATCTGAACAGTGTCATAGTGAAATATGTCCTCGTTTGGCTTAGCAGAAGTATTTTAACATTACTGTAATAAACAAATTATTCTTAATAAAATAAGCATGTAATTAATTGCACAGCATGCACAAACAATATTTATATTAATAAATTAAACAATCTGAAAATGTTATAATAATATTATTACAATAATGTTATTAAATTAATATATTGAAAAAATTTAAATGCACAACATGCACAAACAATATTATGGTATTAATATATCAGAAAAATATAAATGCACAACATGCACAAACAATATTATGGTATTAATATATCAGAAAAATATAAATGCACAATATGCACAAACAATATTATGGTATTAATATATCTGAAAAATATAAATGCACAATATGCACAAACAATATTATGGTATTAATATATCTGAAAAATATAAATGCACAACATGCACAAACAATATTATGGTATTAATATATCAGAAAAATATAAATGCACAACATGCACAAACAATATTATGGTATTAATATATCAGAAAAATATAAATGCACAACATGCACAAACAATATTATGGTATTAATATATCAGAAAAATGTAAATGCACAACATGCACAAACAATATTATGGTATTAATATATCAGAAAAATATAAATGCACAACATGCACAAACAATATTATGGCATTAATATATCTGAAAAATATAAATGCACAATATGCACAAACAATATTATGGTATTAATATATCAGAAAAATGTAAATGCACAACATGCACAAACAATATTATTAAATTACTGTAATATATCTAAAAGATATAAATGCACAACATGCACAAAAAATATTAATATTTTTTAATTCATATATCAGAAAAATATAATTGCACACCATGCACAAACAATATTTATATTAATAAATTAAACAATATGAAAATGTTAAATGCACAACATGCACAAACAATATTAATATTTTTTAATTCATATATCGAAAAATATAAATGCACAACATGCACAAAAGAAATGTTTAATTCATAATCAGAAAAATATAAATGCACAAGATGCATTTTTTTTTAATTCATATATCAGAAAAATATAAATGCACAACATGCACAAACAAAATTCATATTATTATATATATTTGATGTCTAATATAAAATATTTACACGTTCCTGTTGAGTATGGCGCTTCAGTTCATAGGTTCAGTTTCCAGGGATGCATGAAGTGAATAAATAGGAAAACTTTAAATGCAACGAAAATCACTAAAATGTATGCTATGCATAAATAAAAATTTATAATCAGACGACATGTGTTAGGGCCAGGAGCAGAATCAGATGTGTTTGACTAGCGGAGTGACAGCCCTGAGCTGTGTGTGTGAGATAAGCTGTCTTAAGCAGGTTTGAGGAACAACAGCAGCACTATTCTCTGAAACACCCGTGGCCTGAGCCGAACTCTTCATAACATGTAGGTCAACAGACGCATGTGACGCTACTGAGAGATCAACGATGCACACACGCTTAGACTCGAGTCTCAGCACTGACCTCTTGTTTGGCATGCAGGATTTTGGACCGGAAAGGCACAATGGCACACAACACTGAGATGGTCCAGAATATGAAGAGCACACCGGACGACTGCACTCCTCGCAGCCTCTCGAACTGGATCAGGAACGTGGCTAGCAACTGGAGTACACAAACATGTTTTACACGACCTTCTGGGCAGAGATACACCACTTTTGGACAGTCTGTCTGTATTCTTAACAAATTAAAGTTATTTATAAACTAAACTCTGAACGCACCAACACATTGGAAAAACAGCTCAAAATCACACATCGTAAACTAAAAATACAATAATACACTACAGGTAAAACTGGAAAAACGAGAATATGGTGCAAAAGTAACCAGTAATTCAACTTAAAAGGTGAAACTAATGTATCATATAGACTCATTACATGCAAAGAGAGATATTTCAAGCCTTTATTTGTTATAATTGTTACAGATATTAAAAAAAAAAACCTTTTCACAATATTGGGGTTTTCATATCTGTAATCCATAATCATCAACATTATATCAAATAAAGGCTTGAAATATCTCACTTTGCATGTAATGAGTCTATATAATTAGTTTCACCTTTAAAGTTGAATTCCTGACATAAACGAACTTTTGCACCATATTCTCGTTTTTCCAGTTTCACCTGTATGTCTACCAAAACACTGCAAACATGTCTCAAAACAAAAGAATTATTCAAAAACACTACCAACAGGAACATTTAGTCAATCATCGCACAATGTCATAAAAACACTAACATCAGAAACTGCATTATTGTAAAGTGTGTGTGTGTGTGTGTGTCAGGTCTGCCCTTATACGATAGACAGTGTATTGTATTGATCATAGATTGTGTTTTGCACTGCAGTTTCTTTTCAAGCCGGATGTTGTGCTAACTGTGTTAAGAGTTTGGGAAAATTGTTAAAAGGATTGAAAAAATTGGCATATTAGTGATCATGATAGATTTAATTACCTGCCATTTATGTGTCTAGTGTTCAAAACACTGGAGATGTTTTTCTTGAAAATGTGTTTATTTCTCATTTAGGGTCATGAATCTGCCTGCAAAGTTGTAAAATGTGCCTTATTTCAAATGTGACCAAAAAGTTACTTCATAACGGCTGTCCACACACTCAGTGCATTCATGAAAGTGAAATGACGCTGGCACACATTCACAAACCAACTCACATTGAACTGTGCTGAGAATAAGCCAGTGCTGCAGTTGCTTTCATTGAACATCATTCACACATATTCGTCAGACGTTCTCACTTACCATCGTCATGCCGACTATTAAAGGTGTAACAAAATATATTGGAGGTATAATGTGATCCTGGTTCATCTCATGAAATGAAGAAAACAGGTCTGTCCAGCATACTATCCACAATATCAAGCCAAGAGCCTGCACACACACATATAAAGAATCATTACACACAGATCACAGAGGACTGAAGCCACAAACATGCACATATCAGGAACATTACTAGCATTAATTGACCGTTTGTTCAGTTATCTGGGCTCTCATTTAGAAAACTGTGAGTACGATCCAAACTAAAAGTGCGCCACGAAAATATCCAGACTTGTGTGTTTTGCATTGTGTTCATATTGCTCCTCCCTGAAATAACCATATGTCTCGTTTGCTATGCATCTCCTCATTTGCATATGCATATTCATGCACGTGATCCCATGTTTAACGGTACAAGACATTAGGAGAATATGAGATACAAATCTGCTAGGGATGCACTGATATGAACATTTTAGCCGGTACCGATAACCGATAATTCTTTATATTTGAAAGCCGATAATCGGCCGATAAACTTAAATCCAAAGTTTTATCTAATTTTGAGAGCCTGATTACAAATACAAAAAAGTCTCACAATTAAATCCACGTCCCAAGCGCACGATTATAATGATGTTCTCATTATAGTGTTGTATAGCCGATGTGACAGATTTGCGCTTCACATGTTGTACCGAACCGTATTTTCATTTTTTGAAGAGATTTCAATCATATTTCAAGACATTCAAAAACATAAACAGTGCTCAACAAGCGTCTCAGCTGAAGGGAATAATACATTATTTATCGGCTTTAATATATCGGCCCGGCCGATAACGATAACATTAAAGATGAACATATATCGGCCGATACCGATATGCTGGCCGATATATCGTGCATCCCTAAGTTCTAAAAATCATTAAAATCACTAAAATAGTATAGAATATATTTAATCTTTTCCACTGGCCAAACAGTATTTTTAATTGCTTTATATTTTTAGTGTAAACAGATGTGCATTATTGATCATTATTTGTGTGTAAATATTTCCACGAGTTCTGCTATTAGCATGCGCTGAGTGAACATTAAAACAGGAAAAGTGTTCGAACGCATTGCATCCACTACAAATATTTCTATTGATTAGAATATAACACATTTTGTATCTTCTCTGTGATGATTTGATGCAATTTAAGTACTTTTCTCCATGAATGAGAATGGCATATTTAATCTAAATGTGTATATCAGATGTGAATTGAGCAAGTGAGTGCACGTGAATTTTGTGATCCGTTGCAGCACTGGAAATAATGTTTGCGTTACGTTAATGGGGACGATATCAGCAAAACATTCTCCGGGAGATCTCACCGTTTTGATTCTGTTTAACACAGACATCATGATGTATCCCCTGCTGTTCCTCCGCAGGTAGAGGATGTAGAAAGGCGAGGTGACCCACAGGTAGATGCAGGGAGCCCAGGGCAGGACCGACAGCTGGAAGCATTCTGGGAGATCGGGCCGGTCCGAGTGCAGCGTGAGATTGGGCTGTTGAGGGAGCAGAGGCAAACAGAGCTTAAAATCAGTTCATTAAATCAGATTTACGCTTCTTAAACAGATAGTTCACCAAAAAATAAATATTAGCCCATGATTTACTCGCCCTTAAGTCATCCTAGGTGTGTATGACACTCTTCTTTCAGACAAATACAATCAGAGTTATATTAAAAAATATCTTGGCTCTTCCAAGCTTTATAATGGCAGTGAATGGCCGTTTCTGTTTTGAAGTCCATAAAAGTGCATCTATCCATCATAAAAGTGCATCTCTCCATCATAAAAGTGCTTCTATCATCATAAAAGTGCATATGTCTATCAAAAAAGTGCATCTATCATCATAAAAGTACATCTGTCCATCACAAAAGTGCATCTGTCCATCATAAAAGTGCATCTGTCCATCATAAAAGTGCATCTATCCATCATAAAAGTGCATCTGTCCATCATAAAAGTGCATCTATCCATCATAAAAGTGCATCTGTCCATCATAAAAGTGCATCTATCCATCATAAAAGTGCATCTATCCATCATAAAAGTGCATCTATCCATCATAAAAGTGCATCTCTCCATCATAAAAGTGCATCTATCCATCATAAAAGTGCATCTGTCCATCATAAAAGTGCATCTATCCATTATAAAAGTGAATCTATCATCATAAAAGTGCATCTGTCCATCATAAAAGTGCATCTCTCCATCATAAAAGTGCATCTGTCCATCATAAAAGTGCATCTATCCATTATAAAAGTGAATCTATCATCATAAAAGTGCATCTGTCCATCATAAAAGTGCATCTATCATCATAAAAGTGCATCTATCATCATAAAAGTGCATCTATCATCATAAAAGTGCATCTGTCCATCATAAAAGTGCATCTATCCATCATAAAAGTGCATCTGTCCATCATAAAAGTGCATCTATCATCATAAAAGTGTATCTGTCCATCATAAAAGTGCATCTATCATCATAAAAGTGCATCTATCCATCATAAAAGTGCATCTGTCCATCATAAAAGTGCATCTATCATCATAAAAGTGCATCTATCCATCATAAAAGTGCATCTGTCCATCATAAAAGTGCATCTGTCCATCATAAAAGTGCATCTGTCCATCATAAAAGTGCATCTGTCCATGATAAAAGTGCATCTATCATCATAAAAGTGCATCTATCATCATAAAAGTGCATCTGTCCATCATAAAAGTGCATCTATCCATCATAAAAGTGCATCTATCCATCATAAAAGTGCATCTATCCATCATAAAAGTGCATCTGTCCATCATAAAAGTGCATCTATCCATCATAAAAGTGCATCTATCATCATAAAAGTGCATCTATCCATCATAAAAGTGCATCTATCCATCATAAAAGTGCATCTATCCATCATAAAAGTGCATCTATCATCATAAAAGTGCATCTATCCATCATAAAAGTGCATCTGTCCATCATAAAAGTGCATCTGTCATCATAAAAGTGCATCTATCCATCATAAAAGTGCATCTGTCCATCATAAAAGTGCATCTGTCCATCATAAAAGTGCATCTATCCATCATAAAAGTGCATCTGTCCATCATAAAAGTGCATCTATCATCATAAAAGTGCATCTATCATCATAAAAGTGCATCTGTCCATCATAAAAGTGCATCTATCATCATAAAAGTGCATCTGTCCATCATAAAAGTGCATCTGTCCATCATAAAAGTGCATCTATCCATCATAAAAGTGCATCTATCCATCATAAAAGTGCATCTGTCCATCATAAAAGTGCATCTATCATCATAAAAGTGCATCTATCCATCATAAAAGTGCATCTGTCCATCATAAAAGTGCATCTGTCCATCATAAAAGTGCATCTGTCCATCATAAAAGTGCATCTATCCATCATAAAAGTGCATCTATCATCATAAAAGTGCATCTATCCATCATAAAAGTGCATCTGTCCATCATAAAAGTTCATCTGTCCATCATAAAAGTGCATCTATCCATCATAAAAGTGCATCTATCCATCATAAAAGTGCATCTGTCCATCATAAAAGTGCATCTATCATCATAAAAGTGCATCTATCATCATAAAAGTGCATCTATCATCATAAAAGTGCATCTGTCCATCATAAAAGTGCATCTATCCATCATAAAAGTGCATCTGTCCATCATAAAAGTGCATCTGTCCATCATAAAAGTGCATCTATCCATCATAAAAGTGCATCTATCCATCATAAAAGTGCATCTATCCATCATAAAAGTGCATCTGTCCATCATAAAAGTGCATCTATCCATCATAAAAGTGCATCTGTCCATCATAAAAGTGCATCTATCCATCATAAAAGTGCATCTGTCCATCATAAAAGTGCATCTGTCCATCATAAAAGTGCATCTGTCCATCATAAAAGTGCATCTATCCATCATAAAAGTGCATCTATCCATCATAAAAGTGCATCTATCCATCATAAAAGTGCATCTGTCCATCATAAAAGTGCATCTATCCATCATAAAAGTGCATCTGTCCATCATAAAAGTGCATCTGTCCGTTCACTGCCATTATAAAGCTTGGAAGAGCCAGGATATGTTTTTAATAAAACTGATTGTATTAGTCTGGAAGAAGAATGTCATATGCATGCATGTGTGTGTATTTATTATACACAGTACACACAAATTTATTATGCAAACAAAATTTTATTTTGGATTAATCGACACCACCATAAATATATATTTGATAACGCTTTGATAATGAGACTTGAACAAACAATATTCCTCAGTGGCTCGGCCGTGGAGACGTCTGTAAAAGAGTTGCGTCTCCAGAGACGAGCCGTTTTCTCATCGACAGCAAACTTTGCTCTCGTGTGCTGTCGGCTGAACCCCACGGGGGCGTCAGTCAGTCTCAGAGGATGAGGTTTGCGGTTTGAAGGGAAGACACCTTTCGCTTTGCCGACTTAGACATGGTTATGAGGTCAGATGCACAAATCTGTTCATTTCTGTGCGCTTTAAACGCCTGTGTTAAGATCCTTTAAAGGGACACTCCACACATTTGCATTAAGATTTCCATTGTTAGAAACCCAGTCCCACTACTGAATGGCCGTGCAACACTCCCTCATTATCTGATTTCACTGTGCGAAATGATTTCCAGGAGTGGAGCTCAACTCTAGTCTACAGTGATGGGCGGAGCAGTGGGAGTGGCCTGCGGAGCTGAGCATTGCAATGCACTATGGGGATTGTTGTCTACAATCCACGAGCACTAAAAAGTCATTTTCTGCCTTTTATCGGCCAAGAAGGACCCAAATTAGACATTTATGATACTATTCTACAACATATATAACCCACTTTCAGGTGGGTGGACATTCAGGTGGAATTACCCTTTAAATGTGACATATTAAGCCCCTTTAACAAGATATAAATCTATGGTGTCCTCAGAATGTCTGTGAAATTTCAGCTCAAAATCCCCAGATCATTTATTAGAGCTTGTCAAATTTGCCCCTATTTGTGTCTCTTTAAATGCAAATGAGCTTTAGCTCCGCCTCCGTTCAGAAGAGGGCGGAGCCTTCACACAAGCTTAAGACACTCTGATAATATCAACACAGGCCAATCTCACTGATCCAGAATCAGGACATTTGTGTAGTTGTTGTGGAGTTACACTGATAATCTCCTTATCAAGTTGAACAGGTTTCATGAGATGTTCTTCAACAAATACGAAATATTTAAAAAAAACCATCTTAAGTCCCCCTGTAGTCAATAATTGTATCCCTTAAAACGCACCTTTCATCACCAAAATTAGTTTTTTTTCCCTGGAAAAATGTGCCTTAAAATATTTTGAATGTAACCCGACACCCTTCCCTTATTTAGTATGTGCGGTTCTATGAATATGCGAATGAGCCCCGCCTCCACTCACTCACTCACTCAGAGATCCACTGGTTGTTGATCTGATTGGTTACAAGGTGGTTTGCGACGTCAGAAACACCAGCGATTTCAAAGCGTGTTTTATGAGCAAAGTTTTTGAGCTGAAATGAAAAGCAAAACATGAAATATGTCAAAAACTGACTTACCACAAAAAATGTGGTTTTAACAAACTGATCACACACTCTTTTCCTCGCTAAGATAAACACAGCTGCCGTCCGTCTGAATGTGCACGTGTGTGTCGTGTGTGTGTGTGTGTGTGATCCACTGATGTACACTGCACTCACATGGAAAATAACGATAAATGATCATGTTTCTATTCTGATATCACTCTATTTTCAGAATGCAATATGCAAAAGGTAAAGCTATAATTATCATTGCTGAGTTTAGTACTTTTTAAGTAAATAAAAACATGATTTACACATATATATACACAGTATAGCCTATATACAGGTTATAAAGTGTATATTTGTAGACCACATCAATAATATTGCTTTAACATTATTTTTGTCTTCAAGTAAAAGTACAAAAATCTTTACAATCATGTTTACAATCATCTTAAATCTCCCTTTTGTTTGTTTCCGACACAGAATAAAACATTTTAAATTGTGACTTTATTTCTCAGAAACTTGCAACTCTGCTTTTTTTATTGAAATTCTGACTTTAAAACATGCAAATTATGAGATAAAAAGATGCAATTACCTTTTCTTTTTTTTTTATTCTGTGGCGGAAACATAAGAAGCAAAGTTGCAAAATTTATGGACATTTTATGCATTAGATTTGTACTTTAAACCGAAACTTAAACGTAATAATTTTTGGTTTAAAGTACAAATCTAATGCATAAAATGTCCTAAATCTCACATTTAAAAGCTGCTTTTCCAGACTCTGCACTCACTGAAAAGAGGAGTTGTAGACACAGCGGTCAGTCACTATAAAAGGCCGGTACAGATGTGCACGTTTCACTGGAGGATTACAGGGTAGATCTGGAGTGTGTGTGTGTGCACGTGTTCAGACCCGCTCGTGTAAGCCACACCTTCATGAAGGCCAGCGCCAGATGGGTTGCGTTAACTTCCTCAACTCTTCAGATCTCAGGCAGTGTCAACCTCTATTCATCT